TGTTTTCAGTTCTGTTAAGCAAGGGGTGAGTTTCTAGGCTGAAATTTCAATTAATTGTTTTAAGTTTTGTGAATAGAGCATAGGAATTAGCTAATGGCATCAATTGACAATTGGTTGGTGTTAATTTGTTGTTGTAATGATAGGTTTAGATGATTACAATATTTGAACATGTTGGTAAATCCTTTGAGTGTTTTGGCAATTGGGTAGTTGAGATGTTCCCTGCCTATTTTCATCGCTTTATACACATTTCACGCAATTTTAAAACCCGCAGCATCGCGCGGGCACCTTTTGCTAGTTTAGATCTAAGTGGAACAATGATTAAGAGCATACCTGTAAACATCAAACAAGCTTCTTCTTTGTTGTTCCTGTGCTTGATCAATTGCAAGAGCCTTCAATCTTTACCAGAGCTCCCATTAATGCTATGTTCTCTTCAAGCACATGGCTGCACCTCGCTGAACGCAGTGTCAAGCCACTACTAAAAAAAGGCTCAAAAGAGACTGAGTACTATCAGTCCCTTTTGGCCTCTTTAGGGACTGAAAACAGTGTCTATTGTAGTATTAGAGCACTTCCACCAGTTAGCCCCTTGCCATGGCAAGGGGAGCCCTAGGGCGGCTACTATTCACCTGAATAGTGGCTGCCCTAGCCCCCCAGCAAAGTGTGTTTCCAGCAGTTTAGGCTTACCATGGCAAATACTATTCATTTTTTTGTTTTTTTTTTCACAACTTTGTTTACTTAAACATTTGATTTGGATAATATTTTCGGATAAGATTTTTGGGTTCCTACGTGTCAATACTACTCATATCGGATAAGATTTTTGGTTTCAAATTTCATATAAATTTCAAATTTCAAATTTCAGATAAATCAATACAACTAATAAAATAAAATACATGAATGACCACTAATTATTGAAACAAAACAAAAAAAAACACAATGAAATGAAAGGCAAGCAAACTAAGAAATGAAAGGCAAGATTTTATTTTATCGGATAATATTTTTGGATAAGATTTTATTTTATTAGTTGTATTGGTTGGTATTTATAGGAAAAAAAAAGTATGAGGATTTGGTGTTAAAAGTGAAGAGTATTAGTTGGTATTTATAGACACTGGCGGACCCGGAATTTGTTTTAGCGGAGGTGCAATATTGACTAAGTATGAAAAATGGTTTTTCGGAATAATCATTTTCTTAAGATAATTTTTGGCGGCTTTTATTCCTTACACATTAAATAAGAAATGTAACACCCCGACTCCAATTATTTCCTATTTTAATTTAATTAAGAGAAAATATTAATTTACTCTTGGGTTAAGGGTAATTTTGGTCAATTTCTTCTTCGGGAAGATTTTGGGACTACGAGTGGTTTGGTTGCGTACGTGGTACTGAGACGAAACCGTAGACAGGCGGTAGGCTTGAATCGGAGATTTAACGAAGTTTTGGCGATCAAAATATGTTCGATGGCGGAACCGTAAATATTTTGAAGGGTTTAGTAAAAATCAGATTTTTTATTTTTACCTCACTCTCTTTCTCTCTCTCCCGCTTCTTCTCCTCCCTTGCGATTTTTCCCCCCTCCCCTGTCACTGTTCATCGGATCGGAAAACTCCTCACAGCCACCACCTCCGACCACCCCGTTCGACGAGACCGGTTCCCATCCAACCGCCCCCCCCC